CCCCTTCCCCCAGCCCCCGCAGGGGGGGGTTGTACCACACGCTCCGTCCTGGTACAAGATACGTCCACGGTTACCTTGGTTGGAGAGGATGGGCTGAGGCAGGGAGGCCAAGGTGGGAACCATGGTGGGCGGGGAGCTGCCGGGCTGGACGCAGGGGGATGCTGAGAGCCGGGAGTCCTCGCCGGCCTGAGAAGAAGAGCTCAAGTGACCAGGGCAGACGAGAGTTCTGGAAGCGACTGTCCCCTGGCTGGGGCTCAGACAGAACAGGCTCTCTCACGGTGGCCCCTGGGGCACCTCCCAGGGACATGGGCAGGGGACTGGCCCCTGCGGTGCAGGCAGGACTCCGTGGCCATGACCACCTTCCCAGGGACCCACCTTCCTCTCTGAGCTGCTCAGCCTGGACTTGACCTCCTTGGCTTTCTGAATTGCTTTCAGTACTTCCACAGTGTCCAGCTCCTTCTCTGTGGTCACTGTGTTGTCCAGACAGACCTATAGGGAGCCCGGACACGGCTCTCAGCCCAGGGGTGGCGACAGAGGACAGCAGGGGCTTTACTGAGGTGTGGGTGTAAGCCCGTGAGAAGCGCGGAGTCTGAGGGTTTGGTCTGCAGGACAGCCAGTACTTGGAACCACGTTCCCAGGGACACGCAGGCCTCAAGGGGAGGGCTTTCGGGGTAGGGGAACAGCAGGGCAAAGGCCCAGGGAATGAGGCGGATGACACAGGAATGAGGGAGTGGGAGAGGCAGGAGCAAAGGCCGAGGGAAGAGTCCCTGAGGGTCGCTGGATTGGGAGCTTCTGGGGCCGAGCCGGGCGGGGATGGCACGTGATGAGTGAGGCCGAGCTGGGTGGCGGTGTTGAGGAGGGCCCATGTGGGCTCTTCCAGTGTCTGTGGCCTGGAGTTTGGTAATGGATGCGCCAAGAACCAGGTCGGACAGGGAGCAGGCTGGCTTACCCGGCAGGGGCCTCTTGGAGCAGTCACCAGAGACTGCCAGGAGTGTGACCTTACAGGCCCACCTGCCCTCCATGGGTGTCATTAGCTGCCCTCTTTTAAAGAGTCGGCGCAGCTCCTCACGTGTCAGCCTGTGCTGTCCGCTGGGCAGAGCAGAGCCTCCTGGCCTGAAGCTCTGCAGAGCCCAGCGGGACACGGGAGGGCAGGGGCTTCCCAGAACTGAAGGGCAGGGAAGGGCCTAACAGCGGACAGTCCCAGCGTTGACACCAGAGCTAGAGGCAGGCCCGGCCCAAGGACAAGGACAGACACCAACAGGAGCCGCCCGATGGCCTACCTCAGAGGCCCGCTCCCCGAACTGGGCGAGCACCTTGGTACGGTAGTCGGGGACGATGCTCAGGGGGTTGTTCAGCAGGACCACGTACTCCAGACACGGGAGGCAGCCCACACTCCGGACCTCCTCCATCTGCAAGGCATAAGCACCACTGCCCTGTCCACGAGCACTGTCCGCTGGCCCCTCTGTCCACGAGCACCACTCCCCCGGCCCCTGTGCACAAGCACCACTTCCTCCACCCTGTCCACAAGCACCACAGCTCTGTCCACGAGCACTGCTGCCCCCGCCTGTCCACAGCGCTGCCCCCGCACCCCACTCCGCTCCCATCCGCAGACAGCACCTGCTCGACGCGGTTGTCGCTGAGGTCGAGGCGGACCAGCGAGTAGAGCTTGCGCAGCCCCTGCAGGCGCTGCAGCAGGTTGCCCGCCAGGTTCAGCGTCTTGATGTTGCCCAGCTTGGTGTGAAGGCCTTCCAGGGAGCAGAGCTTGTTGTAGGACAGGTCCAGGTGGACCAGGTTGTACAGGTGCTGTGTCGTGTAGAGAACAGGGCCAAAGGTCAAGGTGCCCAAGAAAGGCAGGGCGCCACATGTGGAGTGGGCCTCACACCTACTACCCCCAGTTCTGCGCGGCTGCCCGTCCTCCTCTGACAAGCATTTGGAAGGAAGCAGCAAAGCCCACGGCGAGAACCCAGCCCCGCCCCCTTCCTTAGGGGGGACTGCTGCTGCCTCCTCCCCTCATCTGGGACCAGAAGGCGGGGCAGCCCCCTGGACCCAAACAAGCCCCTCCAGGCAGTGACCTCTCAGGAGACCACGGGGCGTCACCTGCAGGTTGTCCACGGCCTGCACGCCATTGTGGCTCAGGTCCAGGAACTCCAGCTTTGGAATCAGTTTCTGAGAGAGAGAGAGAGAGAGAGCGAGCGAGCACCGGAGCTGAGCCCTCACATGGAGGCCAGGCCCGACCTGCCCCCAGCAGCACAGCGGCGGGGTGTGCAGGCCCCCATGGGAGCGCAGCCTCAGCTCCCTGCTGAATGACCAACAGTGGAGTCCCGGGCAGAGCAGGGGTCCCAGCCACCTCAACCCTGGAGAACCGAGACCGGTGCCCCAAAGCACCACTGGAGGTCCCTCGCACATGGCTAGCAGTATCGCAGGGGCACGCCATCACTACGCCTGACCCGGTTCTGGGAGCTGACAGCCCCGTTGGATGTGAATTAGAGTCACGCAGGCACTGAGCCTGGACTTCCTTTCTCAGGCTCCAGGGAGCCCGTGACGGACCCCTTGGGGCTCTGGTGGGCTGGCAGGCTTACCACGGACTCATCGATCTCCGAGATGTTGTTGTGGCTCAGGTCGAGCGTGGTCAGTGCTTGCCATGTGGGGATGACGGCCGCCACTGGGCCCTCCGGGGTGGCGCCCTCCGGCTCCCACTCCTCGAACTCGGAGGTTTCGGGGGCAAGCACCTCCTGTGTGAGAACACCCGTGAGCTGCACTCGGCACATGTGGGCTCTCCCCAGGACCTCACACCAAGGATGCTCCTACAGACTCCAAAAAAGTGTGTGTGTGTGTGTGTGGTGGGGGGCTGGAGTCCCTCTGCAAGGAGGCTCTGCTGTGGGCACCAACACCCCAGAGGCCAGTGCGGAGGGAAACATTCATATCTGGAGCCACTAAGGAGACTCGCATGTGGGCTGAGACCAGAGTG